TCTATCTAACAGCGTTGAAGTCAATGAGCAACAGTAAAATGGGAAGGATGAAATAAAACAGTATGTTAAAAAGAAATAATCTAGACATAAATAATCCCTAGATAAAACAAAGTCAATCTATTCAGATTTGTCAGATAGAACAGATAAGATAAGAAGTTCAAATATGGACTATTATGGTTTGATAGGTTGCTTTTTAAGTTTACTAGAAAAGTGATTTCTTGCCCAACCATTCGGACAGCAGAAGTCATTCAAATTCACTAGCTTAGTTTTCATACCCATCTTTCCTACTAATAAACTTTGTTGCAATGTAAACATTTCAAGTATTTTTATTTCGTGTTAGACTATTCGTTTATTCATAGCTATAAGACGAAATCACGAAATCAAATTATGCCTTGGGATCTCTCATTGAAACATTTATTAGCTACGACCTCAAAGCAGGTTCTAAGCAATAAAGATTGTGGGGCAAATCTCTAAGTCGAAAATAAGCATTCATCGTGCTTTTCAGAACTAGAACAAAATAATATTGGGAATACCATAACATCTAGTCAATTTCTGTTGCATCAACTATGAAACAAACTCTATTCAGGCCTCTATCGTCACATGATCCTGCCCCATCAAATAGATTTAGTGCATCACCAATCTATCCGGCTTAAGTCTACGAATAAAAAGCTAGTATTCTCACCAGTCAATGATGTTTCTGCAATATTGGTAGCGACAACGCACTTGCGAATACCATTTTCAGATTTCTGAAAGATTTTTGCCTGAAGGTCGCTAGGTAGTTGAGAGTAGATAGGCAGCACAGACAAGGCGGGGGCCTCGTCTAGATTACTGAGTCGCTCTGTAGAGAAAATTAAAGGAATGTTGAGAAGTTAGGTAAAGTGGTTCAGAAAAGGTAAGGAAAGTTGACAGAGAGCTGTTTGCAGGAATAAAATGGCTTAAGAGACTGCGCCAGATATCTATGATTTCTAAGATATTGAATCTCGTCTATCAGAAACATATTTTACGATAGGCGCCGTACATCAGAAACATTGGAATAAATGTAAATTTAAAGCCGTTATTCAAATATTTAAGAATCTGATAAGAAAATAAGTATTACATATAGGAAATATTAAGAAGTAAATCATTGGATATTTTATTACGACCTTACTTAAGGTAACATGTAATTTCAAAGACAATCTCCCTTTGAAAATAAATTTGCCCCGAAAGAAGATAATAGGCAAAGAATAACGAAGCAAATAAAGCATACCAGCAATTAATTCACATGTGACTTCAATATCTTCTTGGCCTGGCATAAATACGAGAATGTCGCCTATAAAGAAAGAAGGATAGAGGAACTCACTCAATATAATCAGAAAGTAGAGTTAAGGTGTAAAAAATTGGCAGAGTATAGAAAGGTCATAAATAAACAATAAAATATCGACTGTAAAGTAGTAGCATCTTAATGAAGTAGTGATTTCTTCTAAAATTTATAATCATCAGTCATCACATTTAGAACATATAGTGCAATGGAATACGAACATGTAACAAATTAAACTAGAAGAATTAATTTGTATCCCATAAACTAATCAAATTTAGTGGTAGCTTCGAAAATTTTCGCAACTCGTCAGTGAGTCTTGCCATTCTTAGCATCATACTAAAATTCGTCAAAGAGAGAATTAAACCAATCCTTTGACCGAACGTGTGTTAAACAGTTGTGGTATCTCTCCTTCTGAACTGGGCGATTCACATTTCCTATATCCTAGTATCACGCCTTCGCTGTTACAGAAGTATAGATTTG